ATGAAAGTTATACGGTTACCAAGGGAGTGAGAGATTGACTACACTCTCTTTCTGTGTGCATAAGTTTGGTCTGAGACGTTTGATTGCACTTGCTTCAACAAATCGTAGTAGATTGACTGTCCTTTGTATGTCTAATATTTTGAAGGATTTCGAAATCTCAACAAAATGACCCGTATCCACAAGGTGTTTGGCAATTGCACTTTGTAAATATCTGCTTCCTTTTAAGCATAAGTTTCTCAGAATATGCTCTGAAAGCCAGATAGAAGCCCTTCTTTCTGTCCTTCCAATGTACTTGCTGACGCAGGTGCACGTAAATTTATAAACGCAGTTGGAGGTAACATCACCAGGGTACTTATCCAGTTTCGATTGGCTTATAGAGCATGTAGTACTGTATAGTGTCACCTGATTGGCTGCAGGGAAACATATCTTCATTGCTCCTTTCATCCTCTTTTCAATCTTTTGCGATACAGTTTCTCCTTTGTATGGGAGGCAAGTGAAAACTTTCTTCTTTTCAACTGTTGGATACTTACTTCTCTTTCTCATCTCTTTCTATGCTGTACTTTAGGATAAATCCTTTTGGATACCCGTTTTCCTCAGGGCATTTTTCAACAAAGCTTAATTCTTCTTCTACCTTGTTAGGCGAACATAAATTCTTGGCTGTGTCGTATAGTGTCTTTACTAATCCCTGCTTATAGCTCATAGGGCAGAAGCTGTTGTAGTGAAGGTATTGTCCTGTCCAAGTTATACACACTAGTGAGCTCAACTCACTGAGCAAGTTTTTAGATTGATGAACTTTGACCTTCTTGTGTTGCCATGTTGACACCGTTTCCTAGATATTTTCTGTTTTCTGTCTTCTCTCACCCCCTTTCTTTCTTTCTTCATAGTTTGACAGCATATAAATTGATGATGCGTTCACCTTTTAATGTTTTCTCTATTACCTTTCAAACAATGAATTATGAAATGTTATTATTTATAACCGTTGCATTTTCAGGTGGTTTGCAGCTGATGAGAACCTGTGAAATAGAATGATATCATTTTATACTGCAAATCTGGTCTTTCTTTCTCTATCGAAATTTATCAAGGGAACCAAATGTAACAAACATTTATTTTTGTTTTTGCTTTGGTTTTGTTAAAAATTGAACTTTTTGTGTATAAGTTATATAAGAATAATTTCTGAGCACTATTAATGAATTTTCAGGGTCTCCTGTTAATTGAACTATTCTGTCAAATCTTGACGACAGTTCATTGAATGAATTGATATCACCTTTGCAAATACGTTAACGATTTCTCCGTACACAAGCTTAAGATGTACACAGCTGATGAGAAGTCGGCAAAATAAATGACGATAACATCATATCCTGCACAAACCGTTGTGTTTGCTCTATTCAAATTCATGAAGTGGAATAAGTGTATAAAAAGTAATAAGTGGTTTTGAGTGAAGCCTGTTCAGTATTGTATCTTTTTAAAAGATTTTTATCTTTTTATTCTATTGATTTTCTCGACTTTCAGTTTGTTAATACAACCATTATTTCAGCGTATTAACACTTCCTTTATTATTTCATACAACTCTAGATACAATGTTAACTTAGTGTAAATTATGAATAAAAATGTTCAGATGCAGATGGGTTTGGCGATGTTATTTGGTTAGCGGTGGTTAGCATTAGAATCAGGGATGCGAATTTCGTCTTGTTTAGAACCCGTCACCTGGATGTATCTGCATCCCTGGTTAGTTCTAGTCTACTCACTGACACTCGAAGCCAAGAAGCTTCGTTTCGAACTCCGGAGCGTCACCCACTGGATCACGAAAGCCACCTCTTGTGCGATGAGTAACAGTTGTGTCGTACTTCCTGTTGGACCAAGATGCTCGGTCTCTGTTTGGATGTCGACCCTCAGTAAGGACACCTCAACAGTGTCTAAAGGTTAACATGATGCTGTTTGGTTGATGGTGGCCGAAATGTAATGTTATTTGACAAACACTTGCAACTGGCAATGAGCTACACCTCTTGTGTGACAGACAGTGACACTGCCTGGATGCACAAATCTCGTTAGGTGCAGTGAGATTGAAAACCATGACTTGGTGACTGAAAGTCAAGCACCTAGACCAATGAGAACAGCTCCACACGTGACTACAGTGTTTACTGCCACCATCAGTCAGATTGGGTAACTGAATTTGAAAATCTTCGAAGCGTTCGCACTAAGAGCCGAAATGTCAACGAAGACAAAGCATTTCCGCTCAACATATGTAGATCCATAAGAAATGAAACATAACTTAAACAGATGAGTTTTTTGAAGTTATTCGATTTTAATTTCTTTATTTTTTGCATTTAATCTCCTTCATTTTTACATTTTTTTGAAGATTCTGTTTGATACTACACATAGATTGACAACGATTTCAGGTGGAAATCGAGTTGTTCTCCCTTTTTCTCTCTCTCTCTCTCTTCTATGATATTCTAGATCGTTTGTTTTATAATATTTTACTTTGCTACTGTTTCGATGTAAAATTATCTTATTCTACTTTTCATTCCTTCATTATAACAGTTCTAATCTTAGATTTTAATCTGTAGACGAGACAAAGAAAACCTGTGAAGTAAAGGAATGTTGTTTTGTGTTCAAGACTGACCAACAAAGCCGATCAGATTTTAGGATAAATAAGAAAAATTTTGGTATTTAAGTGTTAGAAATTTATGAGAGCAGATAGAATGGAAGTGAACTCTTCAAATACAGGGAGTCAAAAATCTTCTTCAATCATCCAGACGACAACTATAAGCACACTACAGGAATGAATGGCTATCATGACGTCACCAATAACATCGAAAGCTCATATGATGCAGTGGGATAACGAAATCCCCTTCGGGATAACGATATCAAGAATCAACTCAAAACGAAGGAATGGAAAGCGATCATCTGTTAGTTAGAGAATAATATGAAGGACATCATATGAATGGAGAATGAAAATATCGGCAATCATGGAACTACCTGAAAATGAAGACAGGTGTGTTGCTTAAGCCTTATGTTCCACTCGGAATAATAATAATAACTCTTATCTATAATTTATTGAAAGTTTGATAAAAGCAGATCACAAAATCGCTAGTGGTCAATGTAAGTAGGATAATAATCGTAGTATTATAAGTAGTAGTAATGTAATAGCAATAGAAAAAAAAAAGTAACAATCGGTACAAATAAACAATATTTTCACAATAAAAAATGGACTAAAGGAAGTTAATCATTCAACCAAACAGAAATCAATTGTTTGGAGAGGTGCTTTTGTGCTTCACTTTATACAATTTTACAATAGATAGATATTTTTTGTACAGGTTTTTAATTTGTCAAAGATTTGGCACAGAATATTTTGAAAATATATTGATAACATACTGTAAATAGAAGATTGTGAATAATTTATTTTTACTTTAGTTTTTAAAATAAACAAAAATAACAGCAGCAATAGCAATCATTATAGACAACGATGAAAACATTGAAAAAAAGAAATACATATACAGAAATTAAATTATTTTTGAGAAAAGAAAGTAAATTCGAAGAAGAATAAGGCGGAATAAACAAATAAGGCGCCAAAAATTTAATAAAGCTTAGTAAAACAAAAGTTAATATCTAAATTTTTAACGGAAATAAATTAAATTAATAATTAAAAAAGTAATTTGACTGCTGATACATTTAAACAAAACGATAAATATGCACATTTGTATGATATGGTACACAAATTATGTTTAGCTAGTAGTAGTAACAATAATTGTAACACTGAGTAGCGGAATCATGTTTTGAAGTCATTTTTAACTATTATTAATAAAAATAATAGTAGTATTATTGCACATCATCAAAATTTTCTTCAGAGTACCATTAACTTTACAGTACAAACGATATAGCATGTAGATTTTATACATTAACAACGAAAAACAGTTAAACAAAAGTGAATCATCAATAATTTATATAAGAGAATCGATCAAAAGAGTCAGAAAATGGAAATTGAAAATTTTTTAGAATTACATAAATAATTCTTAGTTTTGTTTTACTATGTCCAACTGAAAATATTACTCAATAAATAACGAGTAATCTGTGCACTTGTGCATAGACTTAAGTGTACACATGCCTGCTTACATACATATATAAATATATTAACAAATGGAAACAAATGCAATCCATATTGTCATTTTTTCACATATATACATATATATATCAATCCATGTGTTTTCTGAAAAAGATAGAAAGTTGGACAAAGGTATGAAGAAAATCAAAAGAATTCTAATCCATGTAATTATTTCTCAAAGTCAGAACAAATATGCAACATAAGATGGCACCAGTAAATCGTATGTACAAGATGATAGATGCGATAGATTGACACCCAGAGAGAGGTAGAGGTGAACAAATCTCTTTGTTTGACAACAAACATAAATAACACTATGGATCAAGAAAAACAACACGCCTAATCTTTGTAGGCAGTTATACAAAAAGCGGTATATTCCAGTATATGTTTGCACGGATACGGACATGTATGTGCATTTTGCGATGGATGAGTTGATTGTATTTTTTTGAAAACAATACACACTTATTCATTCATCTATCTATCTATGTCTGGAAACTAGAACATCAAAAAAAAAATAGCGAACTACAAGAAAAGAAAATCCGGTTGCTATTGCGGAGGTTTCAAAAATGTTGAAAACATGTTTAGGCAAATTCAGATTCACGAAAATTGAGGAAAAACAAAACATGGAAGCTACCTGTTTATAGCATATATAATGCAAAGTAATTCTTTTGTTGCACATAACTGGATTGTAAGGGATGAATAACAGTCAACTTCTACGATAAATGATAAACAATAGAAAGACATTCCAGGCGGTAGAGATTGCAGTGTGTTTGTTTATGAGAGCCAGCTCTTTGCATTTCTCACATCCTTGTCAAACATCAATTTTAATAATATTTACATTATGGACAGAATAATAACACAGTTTTCAACGACTACATTTAATGATTGAATTTTCAGTCACAATTCAAAAACCATTAGACAGGGTGTTGACAAAACCGTTAATACAACCAGAATTATTTTTATTATGAGTAGGTGTAGTCATATGTATATCATTTCCAAAGTGTTTATTATTATTATTCATCTCAATAATTTTCTTATTCGCTGAACTTTTTGAACTGTCAATCGTATAATAATTATTAATATTATCAAAATTATTTTCCTCTTTATTTATTCTATTAATATTAGCGATAATATTCCTTGGACTAATACTAACACTATAATTATTATTACTATTATTATTATTGTTAGTATTGTTATTTACATATTGTGTACCCGCCATCTGACTTGACGGTGTATATCCCCTTGAATTAATTATTACTGAAGTCGACTGTTGTACAGATTGATGAGAATTGTGTAAGTTATGCAATACTACTTGTTCTTCTCCTTCTCCACTAGTTATCTTGTTTTCTTCTTGAAACTCAGAATAAAATGAATTCAACAAGCTCTGTGTTGCATGTTTATCATTCATGTCTAATGGTAATCGATTTTTAAAGAGTTTTTTTATATTTTTTAACGATGCATAATATTTAAAGCATGCATTATCTAGTGATGGAGTAGTTTTCGTGTAAGATGATGATGATGGTGATGACAAGGCAGTGGAATTACTACTACTACTCGGTAAACGTTGAGTTAATCCACCAAAGTGTACACGATAATAATGATCACCCCATTTTATACACCATGGATTTGATAATGCCTTGATAAATACAACATAAACTAATAATTCACGAGTTATCCAGGCTAGTAAGAATGTTGGAAATGAGAATGGAAGCTTTGAATTCTAGATGAAAAAAAGAAAGAAGAAGGCAGAAGTCAAATTATGATATAAATATAGTTGCACATATATATATATATATATATGAGTGTGTGTGTGTGTAAATATATAAATCAAGAGTAAAATTATCTCAGTTTAGATACCTTCATGAATCTACATAAGTTTAAAAAAAACCAAGCAGCACTGGACACCCATTTCGTCCCAGTTTTATACTCTTCACCAATATGCACACCGATATCGGTTTGTGCCGACATCTACTTTGGAATAAATCAAATCTCCATGGTCTCAAAAATTAAAAAATAGACATTCTCTTCATACATGGTTCTGGCATAATAAACAGAGGAATGTTTAGAAGCTAAGTGTTCTGATGTTCACGGCATAGTACAAAGTATACTAACGCAAGATCTGATACCCACAAATGAAGATGTTAAAGGCAGCCGTAATCGGAAAGGCAAGATACGCCTTCATCAGCCTGAAACCAGTTTGGAAATCTTCTCGACTTAGCTAAGGGGAAAAAATTCGAATTTTCAACACAAATGTCAAGTCGGTCTGTCTATACGGGTCAGAAACTTGCACTGCGTGTCAGTCACGAAAAGGTTTTCCAACAGGTTGTAGACTTTCATCAATAGTTGTATTGGCCAGCTACATACTGAAGATCGAATAATAGGCAGCTGGCCAGAAAGAATCAGCAACGAGAAACTCTGGCTGAGAACAAACCAATCAAGAGCCGATCACTCAACAACAAATATGGAGGAGAAAATGGAGATGGATTGGGCATACATTGAGGAGACTGTTGAATGACATCGTGCACCGGGCTAGCTCTAAAGTGGAATCCGAAAGTGAGGCGACAAGTGGGTCATCGGTGCGAATGTCTGATATGGAAGAGATCGTGTGAGGAAGAGATGTGAGAGTTTCTGGGCAATTGCGGAGCCAGCCGAAAAGGATGCAAGAAAACAGAAAAGAGTGGAGATGTGTTGAAGCCCTATGTTCTACTTGGAACCCAAAGGAACAATAATAATAAACTCTTTTCTAATTTAATCTTTTCTTTGATAGAGAGCCCTAGTCAGTATCCAGATCAAGGTTGCGTGAGATTTGAAGTTATTCAGAAATTTTCTGATTATCTTAACTATTAAATTATCTCAGTATTTTACAAACAAATTGTTTTTCTCTAATTCGAGCATTCGAATTCGCTGCTATTATTCGTCTCAGCATTCATATGAGTACTGATTGCGTTGAGCTAATTCAATCAGGTTAAGACTTCACTCAGCAGGTTTTGCTTTTTTCTTAGCTGTTTGAATCTATATTCATTACATCTGTACCACAAACGCTCACTTTCATGATAGTTTTACAGTAAAATCTAAGTGTCCTTCCTTTACTCTATGATTACGAGATTTTGTTTTAATGTGACAGTAAACATGTACACTACTGTGGAGATATAAATAGAAGCCAAAACACAACAAACTAGAATTTCTAAGCGTTAAACCTAAAATCAAATTGCATATATCAGTCAGTGTATGTACATGTACACGCTTACTAGTATTCATATTGACACCTTTATGACAATTGAGATTGTCGTTCATTGGCATTTATGGACTTCACCTAACGCATAACACTCAATAATTTAGTAATTATGTTAATTAAAAAATCACTTATATTAATTCAGTATTATCGATCAATTTAAGTTACATTTAGGGAGACCTGAATACCAAGTATTCTCCCAGGAGCAAGAAAAGACTGACTGTCTACATATAGTGAAAAGTTAACCTAATGACAATAAATGTGTATTAGGTATCTTGAAATAAACTGTCCCTCTTAATAAGAGTAAATGAACAGAAACATCAGTGTAATCATGTGTATGTCCCTCACTTTCAGCGATCATAAAGTCGCAGTTGTAAATTAGAATGGATAGGAGTACGTATACACGTGCATATAGACTTCTATGGATATCAGGATATCTTGCAGTTACTAGAGATAATAGAGGTTGGCGAACGTGTGTTGAGATTTTGTCAGCAACCAATCCAGTAGATTTGTTACAACTTGTGGAAATGCCCAATATATTCGACCACTTTACTTGTTTACAATTAGAGATATCAGAACACTTTTAATTAGCGTTTGTAATGATACTTTTATTAAACACTATATATCGGCTTCCTGAAATACAGAGCAAATTTTCTTAATGTCACTCCAATTATAATTAAGTAATACTTCGAATTAACGACTAACTAACTGAAGTTTAACGTAGAAGTCTGCACAGAAGTGCATTAGTTCAAGCTGAGAAACTCACTATAGTATACAAAGGTAGCGCGAAAAATCAATAGAACTATAATGAGCAGAAATATACGAAAGAAACAATAAGAACATAGAAGAGCACTAGGATTTATCGAATCTTGTAGATTGTCAAGAGTGAAATCGTCTGCGTAAGTGAGAATGATTCTGAGCTATATCACCAACAGTCTTCACTCAATGGTTCTTAGCATCCGAAGGAAGCACTCAGATGGTACACCCGGCTCAAACCAGAAACCGAAAGCCGTATGAATTGATTAACTACCCCTAACCCTCTTGAAAATTAGTCCTATTTCAGTTAGTATTACTCGTCAAGGAAGGCAGTAGTTCATCATGAGTAACACGTGTCCTGTGCATCGGTGGTATAGCGGTTAGCACGCTCGCCGACCATGCATATGGTCCGGGGTTCGATCCCCGGCCGGCGCACTCCTTTACCTCACTGAGCCAGAAATAATGCTGGTAAAGAGGAAAGGTTGGGCATGAGGCTAGCAACCCCATCCTGTAAAAATTAAACACTGCTACAGAAACTTCAAGCCACTAGCTTGGGGCCCTATGTTCCACTGGGAACGTGAAGGAAAAATTATTATTAACACGTGTCCTAATCTGATCAATTTATGTAGCTTGACAGCCTTATCCACTAATGTTTCCTCTACACTAAACACTCCATGACTAACCTCAATATCTAATTCAATTTCATATTTTCCCGTCGATTGATTGGACCGAAGTGCTCGGTCTTAGGTTGACACGTTGGCTTCGTGTGCAGATACTCCGATGATGTCTGGGCATGTAACTGGGAGTTAATTGGTGGATGGTGACTAACAGTGGAATCCAGGATGCGCATTTCGTCCTATTTGGGACAAATCATCTGGATGTATCTGCACTCCGCAGTGAGTGGTGATGCTCCCACTGAGGCTAGAACCCAGTGCTCATAGTTTCAAACGCCAAAGCGTTATCCACTAGACCACTTGAGTAACGAGAGCCACCATGTCAACCTGAGCACTTCGACCCAACCAATCGATAGGGAAATCTAAATTGAATTAAATAGTTAATATGACCCGTTGTACTACAGGTGGCTGTCGTGAACCAAATGGTCTACTGGATAGCGCTTTGGCATTTGAAACTATAAGCACTGGGTTTGAGCCTCGGTGGGAGCATCATCATTGACTACAGAATGCAGGTGAATCCAGACGACGACTCCCGAATGGGGCGAAATGCGCACCGTGGATTCCACAGTGAGTCACCATCCACCAATTAATCTTAATATCACTTATTATATTACACCACTTAGTACAAGAGATAAAATGCAAACAACTATAGTTAAAGATTAAACAACAGTTAAATATAACCTGAAAAATCCATCCATTACAGATATTTGAAAAGTCATGCTATTAGGAAAAATGAGGAAATAGGGCAGTAGAGAACACTAAAATTAAATCATACTCCAGTAAAATGTCCAAGTTTCATTCTTATATTCACTATCCCAATTTTTGTAAATTCAATAATATTCAGATATTAAAGTGCTAGTGATTTACATAAACCTATCAGTTTAATTTTAAAATGACTCGAAAACAACTTCAGTAAAAGAAAAAAAGTACAGTCAAATTGTCACTTACTTGTACCAAACACAACAATGCGTAATCCAATGTTATCCATATTGTAAAATGTATTATCAGTAGATATGCAAATTTAATATCAAATAAATAATCCATAGTTAGTGAAAACAATAGACCAAGTGTAATTGATTCACTCATAGGTTCTAATACACCTGACACCAAGGGTAACATATTCAATCGGAGTCGAAGCCAACGGACCATTCTTCTAATATAGCTCACTAGTGTACTATCACTAACATTTTGCATAACCGGATATGATGATATGACAATACGATAACCCCTGGGAAGCACATAAGAAATTTAAGAAAATATATATCTGGAAGCATTAAGTAGATAAGAAATTTAATTGATATCATTAAAATAAAAAAATATGAAACAATACAAACTCTATCATTTACAAATTTGACGGTTCGTAGCGGTCGGGTATGAGGACAAATACTCGCCAGCGATGACATTCGCTAGTGGTCACCTATGTTGTGAATTAGCGGAAGCTGGAATTAATGGGCCCTTGGGTTGGGTTCCACTGGCTTAATGGTCTACAAGCTCGCCCTGTAACCAGAAGGTCCTGGGGTCGAACCCCGGTGTGTACGTGCTGATGAAGAGTCCCAAACTAGAGCGGAAAAAACAGCTGTCCAGTACTCCCTATCGGTTTCCTAATGGTTCTCTAACCGATGTCAGTTCATGATGAAATCTTGTAACCACAGTTTTTAATTTACAAAACTTCAAAGTTTCAGAATAAATTGTGATCTGGTTGGAAAGATAACTAACGATCAAGTAAGTAAATAAAATAGTATCGTGATATCACTGATACATGCAGGATGCATCATGGTGGAATTTCACCTCCAACTGTGTGACCTAAGTCCAGATATACTGTCCATGAGGTGATCTCACAAGAATGAAAGTGGGACATCCGGTGGTTACATCACCTTGATCTCGTTAGTAGGCATTACAGGTCAACGTGAATATGCTTTTTATTTACGAAAATAATAAATATTTCGCCTGAAACAGGTGAATGTTTATTAGAAGGAAATTGCAACTTAGTTATTCCTTACCGTTCAGAGTGGAACATAGGGCTTCAAGCTAGAGCTTTGAATTTTCAGTACAGTGGGTTTTTTTCATTTTTACGAGGTGGATTTGCTAACCTCAAGCCCAAACTTCCCTCTACACCGAAATTACTACCGACTTATTGAGGTCTAGGAGTGCGTCGGTCGGAAATCGAACTCAGGGCCAAATGCGTAGGTTGGCGAGCGTTCTACCGCTGGACCACCGACACTAAATTACAACTACACATGTGAAAACGTTAGGACATTCACAAACTAATCGACAGGTGAAAAAGCTAAGATACAGAAATTGTGGACACCGAATGTGAATGCGGTAGGCGACGTTTTAGTTGTTAATTGTTTTAGCCTTTATTAGGTGTATATCATGAAACTGAGCAAATGGAATCGTAGTCTTTCAACTAAGTTGGCAATATGTTTATGTCTTTCAATTATAGATTTCCAATACAAAATACGCCTCTAGAAAGATGTTGTACAGTTTTGCATCTCACGATAATCAACAGCATTTACTAGGAGCGGTACAAACTGTATTATCTCTGTTATTCACTCAGCATAAAAGACAACCTTGTCAGAGGAAGGATGCTCGCCAACCACGCATGTGGTCTGGGGTTCGATCTCCAGCCGACGCACTCGTGAATGTCACTTAGCAGTTAGTAAGCCCACTAAAGAGGGAAGGTTAGGCTTCAGACCACTGCTACTGAAACTTGAAAGTTCAAATCTGAAGCCCTATGTTACACACTGAAAGCAAAGGCATAAAAATAAATTACAAATAAAAAACAACTTAACTCCTGAAGTAGATAATAAATATCGATGGACTAGTGAGATGCTTTACTCTGGACACCATTATTTCTATTTCAAACGCATTTCTCTCTAGACGATATCGCTCTTCCAAAAAGACAACGGTGGAACACGTATCCTCATAATTTCAATCAATGAAGATTTACAAATGCTTAAATTGTCGTAACTTATGTGACATTCTACGCTTAACTTAATTCAATCACTTATGGCTTTTATGTCTGTCTGTCTGTTTCCGACATAGAACTTTGCACAAATGTGCGGAAGTTCGAGTCGCCATACTCCATGTAGCAAACAAATCAAGAGAAGAAGGTAGAAGAAATGCATATTAGAGACAGTAAACAAAGGTGTGAGACAAAGGAATAGTAATAATGAAGAACAATATAGTTTCATTGGAAATCATTATTCACAAAGAGTGGATGCATCTGCGCCATTGAGAACGATTTTGAGCCATATCACCAATAGTTTTCAGCCATTGGTTTTTACCGTCCCGAGGACCCCAACTAGTCAGGAAGTCTACACGTTCCTACGTGGCGAGCTTAAACTAACTGTTGTGGATTTCATTGATTGGTGCCATGTTTTTGATTTACCACCATGTGCTAGTAATTTCCCAGCCTGACCCTATGTCAGCTAACATTGCTCGTCGAGGAAGGCGATGACAAGGCATACGTAACACATGTCCTTACCATCTCAGTCGATGTAACTGCTTCACAGCCTCGTCGAATTGCTTACCTAGAACTCGATGCCTAACCTCAATATTGCTCACCCTATTATACCACTTCACACGGGAAATAGAACGTAGGCACCTATGATCAAAGACAGCTAGCCGGCCTTTTCCTGTCTTCCATTTTCAATGGCTAGGTCTCACAGCCATAAAAGAGGACGGAGCGGACTGATGAGCAGTACACCTGCCCCTTGGTTTATAGTCGGATATCACGTCTACGCCAGAGACGGCGTAAACTGACATATACGAAACTAGCCCTCTGTATCCGTACTCAACTGAGATTTCGTCAGAGATCAACCCGTTGGCGTCGGCTGATGGTACTTCCAAAATAAGTGAAGCGGTCAACGTGCTCTATCACTTCAATCCCTATTTCTAAACTAAATTACCGGTGAAACTATGAATAAGTATTCATGATATTACCCGGTTTTCAGATTGATAACTGATAATGATTTAGAACCGGTACCTTTTGGTTGAAGACCAAATGATTATGCTAGTAAGCCATGGCAATAATCATCGTTATCTATCTTATGTATATTTTATCTCTTCTTTCACACACACACACACACACACACACACACACACACTACGTTCGGTGGTCATACTTATTTATTCTTATTGTCTAAACATCAATAAAAAATCCAAAAATCAGTCCCTAAGTAGCAACAATGTATCTTTTCATCCACCCGGCAGTGAGTCAGATTCTACGGTTAGATACTTATACTAGTTGGTCGGAGTAAAGTTCCAACAAATGATTCATTACAGAAAAACAAATATTAACTAGGTCACAACATAAATACATCTTAAAATAATAATTAACTTTCACTGATGTATTCAACTACAATTAAAAATAATGACCATTGTTTCTTCTGTTCACAAAACGTGTGTCACCTTAGTAATTACTCACCAATATGACCTTTTATCACATGTTCCAGGTATATATAAAACAAATTAACCGGTACCTGTTGAAGAATGAGTTCTTTAGAATGTTTCTTTTTTGTTTTTTGTAGAATCGTTTCTAATAAGCATTGCTGAAAATGTCTATTTGTAAAAATTAATGTCATTATTACTATTATTATGTTTCATTTCTGTGACCCATACGTGTCATTATTCGCTTTGTGTGTAAAAACCATCTTGCTATAACACGTTTAAACAAAACGAAACAGTTATTCAATTTCTGTAATGCCATTTTTCTGCTGTATCCTAAGCTCTAATCCTAATAGCAGTTTATGAACACAGGACAAGCTCACATGACATAGAATATAGGTTGTAGAAAGTGCTTGATGCCTTTTATTTAGTGTATACTCGGTAAATTCAGATAATTTCAGCTAAAATATGTAACTCAAATGTTCGTGGTCACATATAAGTGTTCGTTACTTCTGTTAATTCAATAATATCCACCATAGTTCAGTAAGATTTGGGGAAGAGTTAGTTGATAGGATATCCTACTTGAATGATCAGGGCCTTCAATAATAAACCAATATAGGCAGAAATATTCAAGTGTTGGTTTGTAGCGATTTGGTTGATTGGTTACAGGATTTCATCAAGAGCTGACATAAGTAAGAGAACCATTGGAAAACCTGCAGGGAGTACTGGACAGCTGCTTCGTCAGCCTAGTTTGGGACTCTTTATAAGTACGCACCCACCGGGTTCGCAACCAGGACCTTCTGGTTATAAGGCGAGCTCGTATGCCATTAAGCTCATGATGAAAAGGTAAGAATGTTTTTTTAAACGAGATAGTACACTTCCGCCTACCGGAAAACATGAAAATCCATGACTTATTTGTAAACTAGGTCCCAAAAAGGAACACTTCTGAAAAATTGTAGAGTAAAATTAAAAGGCTACTGAGTACTAACTGATGTTCACTAGCTTCCTTCTTAACCATGCATATAAATTTCTGGGGTAAAATTCTCCTAAAATCTATACAACATGATGATAGATCTATTGCGTGAACCAATGGTAGTATTAAAATAAAATGACACTCTACTGTTCATTTACAAAACCACACCTATTTTTGTAGCAGTCAATTTATAAGGTGATATGTTTCAAACATTTATATACTGTAATAATATGTTGGAACTTTTAAAGATATAAATTAATAGAAACAAATATTCAGAAATATTTGAAAATTCATATAAATGTTAAGTAAACGAAAAATATGGAACTGTGTCCTGACACTTAATATAATCCGGCTTTAGTTTTACTTTCTTTTCAACTCCTTTCTGTTCCTAATGTAAGATAAGATAAGATAATAGCTTTATTCCAAATCAGTACTTGTGATACAGAATGGAATTCTCAGCATTTTTACTACAATATTGCATCCAATTAGTACGTTAACAATAAATAAAGTTCTACATAGATTGAAGTTATCTCAGTCAGTTTTGACAACAGCATATTAGCATGTCGGTAGCAAAGCCAAAATTCAAACAGTGTTTGAAGGTGTTAGAAAAGTAGATACTACTAGCATACTTACTGGCGTAAGCGATAGCAAAATGGTCGAGATATACAGAGAGTGAAAGAACGAACAAGAATGTTTTAAGTAGAGTTTGTAATGAAGAGAGAAACAAAACAGCACATAACAAAAATAAATACAGAATGAAGAAAAAAAAGTAGAGAGAAAACGTTGTACCTGTAAATGATGTGAGTTGGAAAGACGAGATCCAGTTGTTCTACTGACTATTTAATAAGTTAAAGGTTTCACGCCTA